AAAAAAAAAAAAAAGTTGTTGCCACATTGTGGTAGTGCTTTCTTACTTATGTTAGGTAGCTGTTTGAATGCTAGCAAAACAGTTATTTCATTGCACTCATTTAGTCGGATAACAGTGAGACGCCATTAGCAGGATACATACGTTTTCTCTGTTTGCAGACTGAAGCAGCTGAGAGTAGCACATAGTTGAAGAGAGAGAATAAGAAAAAGGGAGCAGAAGAGGACAGAGAGGCAGGCAGGGGCAGAGGGTGAGGCAAGGGGAGAGTATGACGATGATGATGATCAACAAGACCAATACGGCGCAAAGTTGTGTGTACATCACAGCTCTGTGTTTACATCTTACTGAGTAATATAAAAGCAACACTAGCAGTGTAGTGAGCGTGAGACATTGCCTGTAATGGTGCGTTCACTCAAATTTTTTCGCAATGGCAACTGGGGTGGCTGTGGCTGAGGGGTTGAGCGGTCGTCCTCCAACCAAGGTCAGAAGTTCAATTCCCAGTCTTCCCATCTGCATGCCAAAGTGTCCTTGGGCAAGATGCTGAACCCCGAATTGCCCCATAGAACAACAACAATAAAAGTGCTACTGTAGATGCACTGTATGTATGAATGTGTGTGTAAATGGGTGAATGGCAAACTGTAGTGTAAAGCGCTTTGAGTGGTCTTCAAGACTAGAAAAGCGCTATATAAATACAACCATTTACCATCTAACTGGGGAGTATTCGCCTCTTCTCCGGAAGAGAGGAGGACAATTGGCTGAAGCGACCACACTTGCTACATTCTACCCAGAAGAGCTGTGTCTGGATGACAGACCAGTGATTGGTTTTATCACCCTCTAACTCGGGTCCGGGCCAGGACTCCAGTTAATTTTACATTGAGTCACGCAAATTTGATGTTCAAATATTTCATCTCGCTCGTGGTGTGTGGTGTGGGTAAATAATTTTACAGCCTACAACCCCTGGTCACTGCCATTATCAAATAGTCAACATAAGACTATGCTATTAAGGCCTTATCTGCATTTTTCCGTAATGTATGTCTTCAGAGACTAGTTGAAGAGATGAGTCTGGGGGAGCACAGGGAGTTCACCACCCAACGCCTGGAGAAGCAGCCGGAGTTACTTTTGGATGTCTTAATGATGGGTCAGTGCAGGCATGGTGACCCACCTTTTGCTGCCCGGGGTACCATGGTGTACAGACCTACACAAGAGTAAATGCTGTGGCCAGAATCTTGAAAACTATGTCTACCACCACACTTCTCCCTGTAAGTTTTTTACATATTCACAGGCAGTATAGGTATTCAGTCATATTAGAGAGCCTAGGGATAACAAAAGGCAATACTGTTATGTAGCATATCAGCATTTTACCTTTTGGCAAAATGGCTCTTTAGGCCAGGGAAACCATCCTGTCCTCTGCAGCTGCTATGTTTGGAGGTTCTCTAATTCAAAAGGACAGTACACAGGTTTAATTTTTGGTCTCTTGGTTTCCTTCCAGGCCCTCTGGAATCTTCAGTACCACAAATATTCACCAATATTATTGTATTGGTTATTATTATAAAAATTATTAATTATTAGTAGTAGTAGTATAGTAGTAGTTGTTGTATGTAAATTCTATTAATGTAATTGTGTTTCTATTGCTATTTTTACACATTAGATTTGCAATTGTTTTATTGTATTATTTATATTTGTAGTGTTTACACTGGAATGAAAGGTAGGTAAACAAGACTCTACATAACAGTAGCAGAGGAAAAAGTAACCGATAGCCCAGCTTAGAATTGTCATTCCTCTCTTTGGCATCTTTTTAAGAGAGTCAGTAAATTCTGTAATGAAAGACATAATCAGAAAACCTAGAGAATAAAGAGAATGCTAAATAGTAAAAAGAATTCATTAAGAAATACTAGGCTGTTCAAGAGGTCATTGAAATCATTCTCCTCCATGTCCTTCACTGCAATGCTCATGCCATGTGAGCTGCGGAAATAAACTTAACATTAGAACACTTTGGCTTTTACATTTTTTTGCACAGATATGACAATATTATGGCCAACTTAAAGAGAAACTGCATACTTTTTTATTTAAAAAAATGACATATTCTTTGGGGAGAACTGTCCACATTATAAATATGCACCTAAGCCCTCCACAAACCCAGGGAAAGCAATAACATGTATACTAAACACAACACATGTAATGCTAAGAAGTCATTACAGTCTCAAGATCATACCTTTTGTGTTTTCTTTCTTTTCTCCAGTTACAGCAGTAATGGCTACTTTCAGTTTCTCCATTTTTTTTTCATTACTCTTTAGAATGGAAACTCACGCACAGGGCACTGGGAGTATAATTTATACACAGGAGCAGCTGATTGCACTGTGTGAACACATGCTGCTGCCAGACATGACATCCCAAAGGAGCTGAGGAGGAAACATGGGGGCTGCAGAGATTGAGTTTAATTGAAGGCGAAGAAGAGGAGACATTAACCCGCTGTACCAGCGATTATCATGGGGAACATACGGTCTATGCGAAATAAGATGGACGAGCTCCCCCCACTGATCAAGACACACTATGCAATGAAAAGAAAGGGGGGAGGTTAAACTTTATGTGAGTGAGAAGAGGTGTACTCCCAGACATGATACTTGATATGATATGTTTCTAAAGCCTTGACATTGAACTGGTTCTGCTGAGGGAGTTGACATCCGCCATTGTGATCATTGTTTACTTTCCTCAGTAAGCTGATGCAGAGGTAGATTCTGACATCATTCTCACGAATGGGGATGTTACACTGGTCCAATCATTACCTAACTTTTATCAGCATCTTGATTCTCCAACAAGAGAAAATAATACCAACGAAGCAGTCAATGTCACTGCCTTCCCCTCACTCAGCAGATCTATTCACAAGCTTGTCCTGCTAAGTCCAAAGTATGTCCCTCTTGTCCAGAGCCAGCCTGTGCACACAAGAACTGTGAGTAGGTGGACTCAGGAGACTAATAAGGCTGTGAGTCTACAGAACAGGATTTGCTTTGTGAGCCACATGGAGAGGACATCAACATTATGACAGACTGCACCACAGAGTACATCAAATTCTGTGAAAACAACATTTCAACTCGGACTATTATTCAAATCAATTCTGAATAAGAAGAGGAAGGTCTTCAAGTTGTAGGACACACACAAGCTATGTAGAGTGGAACACTAACTGAAGGATAAACTGATATCCCATTATTGCAAAGAGATTCTTATCATTTCTACACACTTTTCCTATATTCTTAATCGATTTAGTCTTAATCAAACTAATACCTACACTGTGTCAGTTCATAGAAACAAATCACTGTTAGTCTTTTTTACATGGGAATATTATTGTCACTAATATGTGAGAGCTTGACCAGAGTGGCCTTTTAAACTTGGAGGTAGACTCAGAGACAGTATCCTTGTGTCACTAAAGAGTGTCTTTTACACATTGGTGGTCCATTGTTACCTGTGTAACAAAAAATATGGAAAAAGGAAAAGACACAAAATAACTGTTAATTTAACTTAACTCAACAAACAGAATAAAACGAGTTGAATTAACATGAGGGACAAGTGCTCAAGAAGTGTCATGATCACTGGTATCAGTGACCTGCCATGATCGGTTCTGCCCATACCTTGTCTCTCTCTCCAACAGCTCTGGTCTTACAATCAAAACACCTTTAGCCACTGCTATTACAGTGATGTCTACATTGTGATTCCCTCCGATTAGCTCACTAATTTTACAATTAAAAATGTATTTCATGTAACTCTCCCTGTTGACGCTTTTAAAAGCCATCTAATAATGTACCCCACTGTTTGGATCGTTTCATGGTCAAATCTTTGATGGACGTGGTCTGTCATCCTCTGGGCTACATCTAGCCAGAAAACCTTTATTGGCCTCTGGCTTGTTTTACTGTCTAACCCAGCTCACCTAGACTTAGGCATTTTCATTGTCCTTTACGAGATAGCCATGTATCAAGTATACCAGAAAAATGTTTGCTGTGGTGAAATTCTGATAATCTGGTAAAGTGGTGGGAGTGTTTGCGCTGACACTTTGACCTAACAAAAATAAGTTAGCAAACAGTTAAATGCTTCCCTTGCATCCTATAACCAGTTAACCTACACTACATCCAATACTTTACATAACATTGGAAAACCAATATGAGTGCTGTCTTAGATTGTAGGGATTCAAATAAGTAATAATGCCTTTCAGTTGTATTCAATTAATTGCATTCATTTTAGAAAGGCTGATAATAAAGGAAAATGTTATATTGTCAGAATACCTTTAATTTGCTGTTAAAATATATATAGATAACTAACACTTTAAAATAAATGTACCTGCTGATGACTGGACAGAGGCAGTCAGGACTGGGGCACTGACTCTCTCAGATGTGGTTGCTGAGGCTAAAATTGTGCTGTGCTTGCAAGCATGGAGGAAGAATGCTCCCAGTTAACCACGTTTGAAGCTTTATATTACGATGTAATTTTGTCTCAAAGTTGCTTTACTTGACTTGTTATCAGGGTTTCTATTAATAAATATTTGTTCTAACTAATATAGGTCACTCTATATGGACAATAACAAATCATAACTAAACACCATATTAAAAATCAAATGTTAGCAAAAAAATGTATGCACAATACGTACATTTGCGCAATTAATCAAAGTTTCTTACAATGACAAAAACTTCTTCCATGTTTCTGTGTGCACGACATCGCAACTTGTGCTCCAAATTATTTGCTGATATTCCGAATTATTGTTCTGACCTGAGGTGGCATTCACATAAATTTTCCCATCCTAAAACTATTTTGTCAATTTATTTCGCCACTGCATTAAAGCCAATGAAAATTCAGTCATTATCTACTCAACACTATGCCGATGGNGGGGGGGGGGGGGGGGGGGGGGTCAAGTGTTTGAGTCCTGTTCAGTGTTTTGTGGACTCACTTCTCCCCCATCTGCATAGTGGTGAGTAGATATGGTAAATGGTTTGTATTTATACGGCACTTCTCTAGTCTTGATGACCACTCAAAGTGCTTTACAGTACAGTTTGCCATTCACCCATTCATACAGTGCATCTATTAGCAGCATCTTGCCCAAGGACACTTCGGCATACAGATGGGGAAGACTGGGGATCGACTACCAATCTTCCGGCAGTTCGACCGCTCTACCCCTCAGCCACAGCCGCCCACAGATAATGAGTTCCTTTTAATTTCTGGGTGAACTATCCCTTTAAATGTGATACTATGGTTGAAACAAACAATTAACAATTATGATTAAATTAAATGCATTATTGCTACTGAAAAGAGGGACCAAGGACATGAGGCTCACCCACTCTGTCACATAATGTTAATGTGATTTAGGTAGTTCTTATCACACTTTCATAAAGGTTATAATTGTTTATGTGCCCTCCGTGTTAGCAGATGGGACATGAACCGAACAAAAAAAATCAAAGTACAAAGATTTTAGGCAGTTCTTATTACACAGTGTGGATGGGTATAGGTGGGTGGGAATTAGATATTGTTATTGTTAGTTTTATTTGCTTTCATTTTTTATTTCATTTTAATTTCTTTGCCAGAGTTATCCAGATGTAACTTACAATAGTGACTGACTTAGCCTTGGTCTCTGTCTGGATGGTTGTTATATCGGAACTTCCAGATGGGGATATTTCATATGCACTTGTTTCCCCCTCACCTCCTTTCTGTTGCTGCCAAAGCTGTTTTCAATGACCATGGACTCTGCAGCGATGTGGCGGTATTTGGAGCAGGGTGGTAAAGGCAGATTTGCCATACCCATGACCCCAGCCCGCACCTCCACCACCCTGCCGCTAGAGTACAGACACACTTCAGTTTGACTCCGCACCTCCTGCAGCTGCTCCGACAGAGATGGCATTCTACCAACACACACACACACACACATCAGTAATTGCCAGGAATTTGCATGAAACCAGAACACATCATTGATCCTACATTAAGCTTGTGGACAGACCCCTCTGAGCCTGGTAGACAAATTGTACTCCCCTTTTTCCTTATTTTTTATATATTTATTTACTGGGGGGGCTGATATGTTGTTAGTTACACCAATGTTTTGAAAGGTAAAATGTCCAGAGTGGAAAGTCACTGCACAACACACATTCCCCATGCTGATGCCAGGCCTGCAGAGCCACCCAGCATCAGGGCTGGAAGCACTGTGAATCAATGTATCACTTTTATCGGGTGCAACTTTACATTTCATAGCAGATTCATACGTCAGATCTCCTTTTGTTGTACAGCTGCAGATGTGCCTGACTTTCCAGGCGAACATTTTAAACCCTGTGACATGATGCTCTGTTCCAGAAACAGTGTAAGTATTGAACGGTAAATGATGCGGATGTTGTGAATTAACTGCAGTAATCTCTAAAAGGGGAAGTTGAAATGAGCAGAGGCACATTGAAACGCTCATGATGCAGCTACATACAGCTACTCTGCCTGGGTCTCGGTGCAAAGGTCTGCGGTGCGACCGGAGCTGCTGATGCTGCGGTGGTTCTTACCTCCGCTCTCCGGGAACAGCGATGCAATCCCGGGGCTGCTCCTCTCGGTGCTCCTTCACATAGTGTGTTAGTGTCACAGCAGTGATGGGTGCCTCTAAACGAGACACCTCTCGGTACCGTCCGCTGCGTGATCCCGATAGAAAACACACCGCGCCGTCTCCTCAGGCTCCAGCCAACATGGACGCAGCGTCGGTGACGTCACCCGCAGGTTTTTGAATGGACGTGTGTTATGACTCATTTGTGTCCAACATTACACAAAGATGTGGCCATTCAAACATTCATTCTTTTATAGCAGAGGAATGACATACATTATGCATATGTAATAACATGTAAATAAACTAGCTACCTAACAAGGTTTAGATATTTGCATATTGTTTCCTGATATCTTCACCTGGATTATCGCTATGGTTTTAAATTTAAGATTGTTTTGGTTCCAGTAAAAAAATATCGTGGCTTCAATCGCAAATTTCAAATCTAACAGAGAGTTTTTTAGATCTTATAACCTAAACTTTTTTATAGGTCATTTGTCCATTTATTTTGTTGCTCCACCGTCTTTTAGACTGAATACCACCTCCATTATCTAGAAAATGTCTAAATTCATTACTATTATTAAAAAAAGTTAATTATGACAAATGTGGGCACTGTGGTCTATTGATGGGCTAATATGCAATGTGTATCAAGTTTGTGTCAGAATCTCTAAATTAATTAATGTACAGGATGTAAATTCCTCACTGGAAATCCAGATTTTTTTCTTGATGCCCAAACACATATATATCACACACAAAAAAAATCATAGACAAAAAACACTTGACAAAAGTAGGTCACATGAATATATTTATTTGTTTTGCATATTGGTAACTGAAGTCCCTATAACTCACTATCATTCACTATCATTATGTTGCATTAAAAATAATGAATGAAACTAATCATCACACAGGCTACTCTTAAACAAAGTCGATGATTGTGGAAGAAACATTAAGAAACGATACAAGAAAAAGAGCAGAAGCAAATTTTTAGTGTCTGGTTTGTATGAGTGTATGATATCTAACTGTACAAAAGCTCAGGGATTACAAATTAGTGACAACAAATACAAATGGAAACCGTCTGGGATTCTTTAGATGTTTGTGTGGATATGAGGTTGTGCATAGGAGAGCCAAAGCTGTTCTTCAAGTCCCTGATATACAACAGTGACAATAACCAGCACAAAGCCACATATAATCGAACAAAGCAACGAAGTTGTACTAAGCATGAAGACAGATGTCAACAAGAAAGGCTACACAATGTAACCTCCAGCACTGAATCATTTGCACCTAAGCAGAGCATGTCTGTGCTCGATTGCTCCCGAGCTGCAGTGTATAGTGATGCAAAAATCACATTAATAACTTTAACCCATTTTTCGTGTATATTTATGTCATGACCATGTAGAATATTTTTGGAACATTTATATCTTCTTATATTGTTAGTAGTTTTATGGATAAGGGGCCTTCGAGGTGCTATATGTAAGGCTTCACTGCTGCTGAATTGTTGTTTTCTCTCTAGAAGCAAATGTGCGTGAATATCACTGCAGCTTTAGCCATTGTTGTTCATTTACAATACAAGAGGTGTTATGTTCTCTGAGCAGCAAACTGGACGTTACAGTGAAAAGTCAGGCTGTGGTTAAATGCATGCTAACTCCAGCAGAAGCAAAATAGTGATAGAAATAAAAGTAAAACTTGAATCAACACTGGCGTTGCTTTAGTTGGTTGCTGAACATACAACATTTCTGAGTAACAGGTAAGTAAACAGCTGTTAATGCCAATGTAGGCTTTGTAAAAATTGCATAAACATATAGTTCCTTGGCCTTCCTCCACTCAGCATGACTCATCAGCTGTGATGTCCATGACCATTACAACCATTTTTATTTCTGTCAAATCATTCAATGTGTGAAAACAAATAAAACACTTATCCATCTAGTTCACGTAATGCTGGTGGTTAAGATTAGGTTAGATAGGTTAAGTTAGAGTTTAACTGGGTAGGATTTAGACAAAGTTTTGGTTTTGGTGTTGATTAATCTGCCATAAAGTCCACATAGTCTGCTCATTCACCTCCACATAATGCAGACAGCATGGTGTTTCGCTTCGTTTACTTTTCTCTAACGGAAGCGGGCCTTCATTAGAGTCTTCTCTGCTCAGTGAAGAACTTTTAACCAGTCAACAGCCTTGACTGGCTGGCTTGGGATACTGGCTTCCATGAGACATTGAGAATATAATTAGTTGTGTGATCATTTAAAGAAGCAAATGTTGACTGCTGGTGGTTGGCATGTGTCTATTATGATGATTTTAAACAATTTGTGGTGGCATCTGTCTTTGTTATGGTTGACTTACCCCTACTTAATGTCTGCTGTCCTTTTAGTACGGTGCTGCAGTCCATATACAGGATGCTGTAATCCAAGCTTTACTCGCTACTGAACCTGAAGCCACTGCTTTCCACAAAAAACTTTCATTTGCTGAAATAAAATTACATTGTGGCACAGTGAGGTTAGAAATGTAAGCCATGATGCATGAAATGTAAATAACAGACACTAAAGTTGGAGCGAGAACAACATAATGCTGTAAGTGTAAGTATGCAAACCCTGAGATATATACCCAGAATATCTATCATCACAGAAAAAAAATCAAGAGAGACAATAAAACAAAAAATCTGGCCATACTGTACAGGTTTTTTTCCTTCTCATAAATGTTCTATTTATGAAAAGGCACGCATTTTTAAATATACTGAGATGTTAACAACACAGCTTCAAGTTCTTGTTAAAAAATGCAATAAATTAATTTTAAATCTTCATCTAGAAAAAGTTGGAATACTTGAAAACACAATTATAATTCATGTTACACCTTGTGTCTGGCCCCATCACCATACACTCACTCTGTGTGTGAATGATCGGTTGTGCCCACAGCTAAATGTGTGCTCGATAGCATCAGCATGCATTCAAACTGCACAACTGATCGTTTAAAAAGACAGCCTATACATTGAACACCACTACACGGAGTGCTAAAGAGGCATTAGGTCCTTTCATTCAAGTGCCTAGAGAATACCTGTAGAGGTCACTGTTAGACCACCTTTACATTACAACCAGCACCCATTCAAATTAAGTCACACAGACACATGCTTTCACATTCTCTCTACAGTCATCATACATTAACATGGGCTGGTTAGGACAGCACAGTGTGTGGATTCACATGAACTAATGGGCCACATTCTTTATTGACTTTCACAGGTGCAGCCTTTGCATGACTGAGGGCCAGTGGGGTGAACATACACCTCCTGCCCCCAAAGGAAATATTGTTTATAACCACTTGGTCTTATTTCAGTCGTATTGCCCATCCCTTCTTTTGGTTACAATTACTCACTTTCAAGGATAATTGCTGAGGTCTGCGAGCATGGTGACATCACTACAACAACATTAAATGCGTCAACTGCAGCAAAGAGTTTAGTAAGATGCTAATTCTTGAAAGAAAGTAGTTGGTTTTACTCCTGTTCAGAATCGTCCCTATTGAAGGTGGGGAGAAAAATGTGTGTATTTACAGTCTTGATTATATATATATATAAATAATTGGGCATAATGGCACACACTTAGACAACCTCACCTTGAAAACATTCAGTGTGGCAGGGGGTTGTTCATAAAAATGTAACAAAGTATAAGAAAAAAAAAAAAAAAAATTTGACAGAGAAGTATAAATCTTGACAACTTTCACACCTGGCTGATCAAACTAGAAAATTGTTGGATGCCGCTCCCCCTCCATTAAGATCAGTAAGGTACTTTCTTTGAGGCATTTATTAAAAAGGTGTGTCTGTAATCGTTGATGGATATTTGGGTAATGCTTTTGCCGCCATTATCTTCTAACATGTCCTACTGTGTCTTCTCACTTATTGGTCATCTTTTCTTTGAAGTCATCATGTTCCCAGATCACAGCAAGTAACTTGAGAGTAGTACATCGTAGTTATTTCTAACAACAGTTATTGTCACAATAACAAAGTAAGACCAATGTTATAATAAACCATCTTAAATAAGACACTAGTCTCACAGAGACCAAAAAAGATAGGGTGTCGGGGTGCTTTTTGTCAAAGCTGCTCCGTTGATATTCCTGAATTTAAAAGGGTTGCCTATTCGTCAGTCACGTAAAGAGCTTGTTTTTCATCGGAGTGAGCCTCACTCACCTGTCATAACACATTCAGGACAGGCAGAGTGTGATGACCCACACATGAGCAATCATTGAACTTCTCCTTCTTTCTGTGTTTAGTTTTGTGTGCAAATAGTAGTCTAGCAATGAATAAAATAACCTTTACATCCCTATCCCATTCCCTTTTCAAGATTCATCGCAGGTATTAGAGTAAGAAGGAACATCCATTGTTGAAGCACTGAGACAGGCGTCAGTGCACAGCAGATGTATATGTAGTTTTGGATTGTGCAATTCTATGTGTCCCATAAAGTTACAAGAATAGGACCTTTTATCCTTTATTGTGTGCTTGTGTTTGACATGGATTCTTGTTTATACCTGTACTGTGATGATGAGAAATCATAATACAGTATAATGACTGATCATTGTTTTTCAAGTCTTGCAGAAGATATATTTTCAAAAGTTGCAAGTAGTTGGTGCATGTAGTCCATCAAATAAATAGCCCTGAATAGCAAGCAATAGAAACAGTAATTTATACCTGTTGAGTTGTACACAAGTCCTCGTCAGGACAGTCGGAAATGTTGTCATTCACACAAGGCTTTTTATGCTCACATTTGAGCCCTTAGAGATCAGTGAGTCACTGGTTTCTTTTCCTGCCCATTATTCTGGTCTTCAAAGAACAAGTCTGTAATAACTGACATGTGACAGTGTCCTTCAGATTCTACCCAGACAGTGGGCCTGTGCTTCTGACTTCCCTTCAGTGCTTCATAAAAATTCCATGTGACAATACTAAAGAGATATCAGTTTGTTGAATGTAGTGATTTGCCAAGACAGAGGTTAGAGCCCAAAAGTTATGGGGGATTTCCTCAACCCATCGATTGGCATCTTTGTCAGTAAACCCTCCTCTGCTTTTAAGCTTACATGCTCGTTTCACAGGGTGGTGTCATGCATCCGTCCATAACAATGTGATTTTCCTGTTTCTCGCCACACTGTTCTGCTTCCTCCTTTACTCCTTCTTCCTTCCCTCCTTCCATAGCTACTAGCTGCTGGGTGCAGTTGAGGGGGCCGGCTTTTGAAGGCAGTGGGCTAGCACTGCTACTTGAGGCAATGACAGACCTCTCCATGTGATTCCTTCCCTGGTGGCTTAAGCCTGTGAGCTGCCCTTCACCTTCTAAGCTCCTGGATGCTGAGCCCTCACCTCCCCCATGGGAGTAGTTTGGACTGACAGATTGCTGGGGCAGAGATGGGGATTGCAGGATTGCCAGTGGAGACTTAACTTCATGTGTTGCAGAACTTGGAGGTGGAGAAAACCTGGTGATAATGTCATCAGAAAGTAGTTGAGTAAGCTTGGTTGAGCCAGTAGAGGCTGGGGTTGCATTAGGTGTCATCACAGCCATAAGCACGTCTTCTTGAGATTCAATGAAGTCAACCTTTAGGGCTTCTGGCTTTTGGGGGCTGCTATAACCTTGCAAGGAGCTACAGGTAATATCATAGGTCGTTCCACAGCTTTCGACATTCTGTGGAACCAAACTCATATCCCCAGCCCCACTTCCTCTGGGGCTAGACACAAACTCATACAAACCCTCTTTGATGATAGTCCCTGTTTGGATGCTGTCAGGGCCCCTGTTTACTTCCATGGTGCTTATCTGACTTAGATCCAAAGGAGGGGGGATGTGTTGGTGTCTAGCACCAGTTTGACTTCCGTCAGCACTCAACATAAGAGAGCTTCTTGCCCCCTTTTCCACTGAAATATCATCAGTTACATCAGGGGAATTTTGCTGGACTTGTGTGAAGGGCAATGTTTGCATCTCCACCTGCTCCTCTATAATTTTGTTCTTTTGTTCTTGGGTGGTTGCCGTCTTGTTGTAAGTCTCTTCTAGCCTCTTTACACTGAGGTGCTGAGGGGTAGTTTTGTTAGATGGGAGCTTGACTCGTTCAGGAGAGCCCTGCTGCGCTACTTCCTGATAATGAGAATGTTGAGACCTAGCTGGACTAGTCGCCTCTGCATTAGTGTAGTGTTTGTGGTAGCTCCAGCGGCTGGGTGAGAGGTGATTATCCACAGGACACTTGCTGTCCTCTCTCTTCTCCACTAACACATCTGTGAGTTCCATACTACGTGCAAAAGCATCCTTTAGGTTAATAGAGATAATACTTCCACTCCGTTTGGCTCTTTCAAGGGCTTCCCTCCTCTTGATTGCCTTCTCCTGCCTCTTTTGCTCTCTGTAGAACTCAGAGAAGTTGTTGACAATGATTGGGATAGGAAGGGCAATGACTAACACACCTGCTATACAGCAAAGACCTCCCACAATCTTACCCAGCAGGGTTTGAGGATAGATGTCTCCATAACCAACAGTGGTCATAGTAATTGTAGCCCACCAGAAAGAGGCGGGGATACTGGTGAATTTGGTGGCATCCTCATCCTTCTCTGCAAAGAACACTAAGCTAGAGAAGATCATAATGCCCATGGCTAAGAACAAGATGAGCAGACCCAACTCATTGTAGCTTCTTCGCAGAGTGAAGCCTAAAGACTGAAGCCCTGTTGAGTGCCTGGCTAGCTTCAGTATCCTCAGGATCCTCATAATTCGGAAGATCTGGACCACACGGCGAACATTCTGGAATTGCATCACATTCTTGTTAGACTCAGTTAGGCAGAGGGTCACATAGTAAGGCATTATAGCCAGCAAATCAATGATGTTTAGTGGTGCTTTGATGAAATCCCACTTGTTGGGTGCTGAGAGCAGACGCAGCATATACTCCATGGTAAACCAGGCAATGCACACAGCCTCCACATGGGCCAGACTGGGGTTGTCATTGAACTGGCCAAATTCATCTACCACTTGCAGTTCTGGCAATGTGTTGAGAGACAATGAGATGGTGGAAATGATAATGAATAGGATGGAGATCATGGCCAGTATCTGCAAGACAAAGTTAAGATTGAAGGTTACTGTATTAGCATATTCATATACTGCATAACACATTTTTCTGTCCATATCTCTGTATCCCTACATAAACAGATGAAGGGATGCAGAGCCCTGTTATTGTCCGCTGCCCTAGCTTAATGACTGTGTAATGCCTCCATAACTGTTGGTGGTTTGTCAAGTTCTCTAGAGGATTAACTCTCATGACAGACTAATGATCTGCTGACTTTTCCTTTAATGGAATCATGCAGTTCACCTGTTTGGATTTGAATAAATTATCTTCCCGATGATTAGATAGTCCCTAGAAGATCTTAATGGTTTTGATGATCCAATGTCTTTACTTCTTGCCACACTGAATGACAATCATACAAAAGGCCATCCTATTCTTTATGATACATAAAATAATAAAATAATATAAAATATGAGAACATAATAAGTCAGATAGAATTCTTTAATAAAAAGCTATGGCCTTTTTTCTGCAAGCATGGGACAATAAAAGCAATGTGCACGAGCATTGTGATAATCCTATTCAATTGTCTGTTTTGACTATATATGCACTTTGTTTAAATAAGGATTTAGGATTATTATTGGAAATGCCCAATTATTTAAATGGGTTCTTAAGACAGCAAGGTTAGTAAGCAGTAGAAAGTTGCATGGAATCCATTTGCACTCTGCCTCTCTCTCTCTCTCTCTATATATATATATATAGAGAGATATATATATATAGAGAGAGAGGCAGATATATATAGAGAGGCAGATATATATATATAAAGACAAGGCCTACACGTGTACTTATTTCTAAAAAAAATTTCCTTTCCATAAAGTGAAGAAAAATGGGCTGATGGTGGCAGTTTAGAAGAAACAAATTGGCGTTCGACTTGAATCAGTGAGATACACATTCTAGCATGAGAAGAGAAAGAATAGACAGTGACAAGTGATTCAGAGAAAAGAAAGACAAAACAATTTTACATTGTGTGCTCTAAAAAGAGAAAAATACACAAACAATGGTTTTAATTCAGACTGGACAGACTTTTATGTTGATCCTTCATCCCTCCTGTTGAATGTGGAAACTGAATAAATATTTCAAATATTATTGCATTATACTGTCACTGATTTGGCATTTAGTTGTTGACTAAACACAGATGTCGATACATCTTATTTTTACCTCTGCCAAGGAGGTTATGTTTTTTACTGGATTTGTTTGTTTGTCTTTTAGTTAGCAGGATTATGCAAAAACTACTGCTCAGATTACCACAAACACGTGGTGGAGAGATAAAGGATTTTATTTTAACTTTCTTAAACATTGTTAGATAGAGCATTTAGCAAAAATGCAACCCCATCCAATGGGTGTCTTGTGGGCCACAGGATTCCTCAAAAAATGGTCAGAAAAAAAGCAGCTGAATGTTGAAAAGACAAAATCAGAGGACTGCTGTGAAGAACAGGGGCTGTTCTCACAAATGTGTTTCAATCATGTGAAACGTGTACTTACTGCCAAGCATTGATTTTTGATCTTCATATTTGAGGCCAAGCTCAAATAAAAAATCTATAAACCGCTCCATTGTTGTGGTATCCATGTTAACAAACTGAACCGGAAGTACGTTGAAAAACATGGAAGTACATTTTAGTACCAAATGAAAAATGTGCAAACTTTGTGAGATTTTTTTCTCTTTGTCCCTTCCCAGGCTCTGTAGATTACACATGTTACGGTAGCTACGGTTTAAAATTTGGGAAAGACATATGCTGTATATCCAGTACAGACAGTCTCAGACTTTTGGACCCCGCTGAGTGTTTTGCTGTTTTGCCTTGTAATTAACACATTCATATACAGTATCAATATACTAGATGTTGGTAGGGAATAAATCCATAATGGTAGATTAATAGCAATTTACATATGACTCCATCTGTTCATTAGATTAATGCATGCCTTAGTCCTTAATGAGTCACGCATTAAGTCATGATAATCTTTCCGTTAGTTAGACAATAATATTAGTGCACCAGTATTTCACAGATTAATCTCTTTGAACAGGTCTTTTATCAGACTTTGGTTGAATCATTGTGCTCATAGACATCTGAAACAAATCTGGTACTTTACTCTGCTACCCCTTG